CCCATCCTTTTACAAAACTAATACCATATTACCCAATTTTTAAAGTTTTATTTCTATCTACGTTTACATGTATGTAACTATCTATCTATAAATACCTATCTCTATGTTTGTTTTTAGAGTGCAACAACTACTTTCACTTAGAGTGTTTTTCTGAGCTTGTGGCATTTACAATATTATAGGGAACAGAGGCATTAATTATATCCAAAGAGTAAATGTAGTCAAAAAAATGGAACATTATGAAAGGAAACTTAGTCTAAGATAGGTGAAGTAACTTTCTACTTAATAATAAAAAGGAGATAACTTTAATTGACTGAACACTACAAATCAGGCACTAAGTGCTTTATATATATATATAAATACATATATATATATCCATATCTTCTTCTACCCAGCATTCCCATGAGAAAGTACTATACCTTTATCTTATTGAGGAAAAAACTAAAACAGAAAGAGGTTGAGTAACTTGCCCTGTAATCTGACTCCACAGTTCATTCACTTAATTTTTAATTTTGCTGAGAAATGATGAAGTCATGATCTGACTACAAAGCTTGCTTTGTTGAACAAGTTGAATTCATCTCTGCAATATAAAATAGAATATTTTCTTATAGTGGATTACAGCATTCAGTGAGCATGCAGCTGTTAATTACCTGATCAGCAACATTTTGGGAAGACAGAAAATGATTGTATGATATTATTCATTGCATAGCTTTTCTCTTTAAAAGGTACAGTGGGAAAAAGTATATAATAATAGGAAAAATAAAACAACAAACTTCGAAGCCAGACATATTTAAGCCTCCCTTATGCTCTATGTAATTTTAGGTTAATGATGATTCTGTGAACCTGTTTCCTCATTTTTTAAATGGGTATTACAATACCAAACTCATAGTGTTGGTGGGCAGATTGAATAAAACAACATACGTTAAAATTGCACCTGAACTTCTATTAAAAATGTTATTTCTTTTTCNCCCTTATGCTCTATGTAATTTTAGGTTAATGATGATTCTGTGAACCTGTTTCCTCATTTTTAAAATGGGTATTACAATACCAAACTCATAGTGTTGGTGGGCAGATTAAATAAAACAACATACGTTAAAATTGCACCTGAACTTCTATTAAAAATGTTATTTCTTTTTCTCTTCTTTGTGTACACATGTGTGTGTGTGAGTGCCAAAATATTCTTCACATATCCGCTGTTCCCAAGAAACTACCTGATGTGTAAGTAAAGATGTTGGTCTCATGGCATTTCCATTCCTTAGAACATTTTTTTTGAACACATGGATAAGTTTTCCTTAATGAAATACCCACTAGAGTGATGATCTTTTAGACACGTAGGGAGAAAAATATAAAATAACATAGTTATTTTTTCTTAGAAAAGTATGCTAAATGTTCTGT